CCCCCTTTTTCTAGAATTTGCCGTCCGTCTACTAAAATTTTCCCATATAAGCTAAAAACTAAAAAAAATATAGAGAGGAGACAATGTAATGCAGCGTTTTTGCTACATTTAAAATGCAACATTTAGCACTTTCGAACATATGTTTTCGAAGAGCGTTCATGCTACTGCAATTAGCAAATGTACATTTACGCGAGTTCGAAATCGTATGCTTTTGACAAACAGCCGTGTTCCAGTCGCTTATTCAGATCTGCATCTATTACGATAAATTCTCACGGAAAAGATAATGTGCAAAAATCCCTACTGAAAAGGAAAAAATAAATTCTAAACCGAAAATTCAATACAAAAACTTGAATTGTTTTAACCATAACCGAACATTTGTATGTGTATATATTCATTTGTCGGTGCTGTCAATTATAATTTCCACACTTAATTAGGAAACAAAACAAACAGAGTTGATCACAAATTAATCCAGATTTCTATCAGCATCATATCGATGTTGAATTTGCGTAAATTTTCTTTATCCAAATAATGTAAAATAATAAATGAAATCTCGATCGGAGATCACTGAAACGCAGCTAGCGACAGTATACTCGAAAAAGCAATGTTGCCACTTTTTCTCATTAAACCATGTTCGAATCGTGGAAATTTTGGAAGATCACAGGGTTGCTTTTAGCATTTAGATTCTTAATGCATAAATGGAGTTGCATTTAGGTGACGAATTTTGTATGGATAAATGCACATTTAGAGGGGCATTTAGAGCTAAATGTGCTTCTACGCGTAAGCAAAAACAGCCCATTACATACACATCAGCGTCTCTTGTGTTATTTTAGTTCTTTTATTATGAATTTCTCTTCTTTCTTGCACAAGACGTCAGAATTATTGTCTGCATACGTCAAATCATTGTCCGATTTACTGTCTTGAAAATAATCAAGACAGTGATTGAGACAATTGAAGAAGTATACACGTATTAGTGCAAAAGTGTGCATGTATTGCTATTGTCATGACATTATTGTCCGGTGTAAAGCCCAGTGGCAGTGGCAGCGGCAGTTTTTCGAAATCAGCTGTTTTTTAGAGAGTGTGGTATCCAATGAAGCGACTCACAATACAGCAGTTGCAGCTAGCAGTACTGCTCAGTTTAGCCCAAATTCTAAATTCACTGCCACTGCCTTCATCGCAGCAAACTTCGCATGTTGAATCTAACATAAATGAAACGCAGCCAACTTGTGTTTATGTCAGTAAAGTCTAAAAGCAACAACAAAAATGTAAACAAACAAAAGGAAATGTCAAAAAAAGCAGTCACTTACGACGCCTTATTGTGTTTGCTGCGGCAGTGACTGCCAATATTAACAGTAACAGCTTATTTTAAAAACTGTCACCGCCACTGCCACTTTATCCGAACGATAGGGGACACAAACGATTTGTCTGCAGGCGAATTCGTATCCCCTTACAATATTGTAAGTCGAACGATCGCCTTCGTGTAGACTCTACGTCGATTACGTTGTATTCGTCTAGAACAGCGTTGCTAAATGAATTATTAAGGTATTTTTATATATTTCCTTCAGAATTTTATTATTTTTAATTTATTTGGTACACTTTACAGAAAATGGGCATCACCGTCAAATGTTGTTTACTATTTTTGCCATTCATTTGAGAGATTTTTTCTGTAGTTACTGGTGAAATTAGTGGCTATGGAGTGGCGAGTAGTGCGTCAACGAACTTAGGGATGATACCGAATAAGGGGAGCCTCTTGAATTGCTTACCGTTGATGTACGCACAACGAATAGTGCTGGCATGTCAGTCGCTGACAAATTATCAGAGGACGCTGCTGCCTGTGATGCAGAAGGCCTTGAAATTCCAAGCGCTGGGCCACTTGGTGTTGCGGCCTTCGACATACAAATGATGCGATCAGTGGTGAATGCCGAAAGGTACCCCAACCTGTTGTATTTATATTACGAAAATAGCTCGCAATCTTCTTTTTTGTACGGCTTTTGAGGTGAGCCCATATCTGAAGAAAAATAAACAAATCGTATTTTTAGTTATGTTACTAGAATGTCCAGGATTTTTGCTACCAAGTGTCTTCCATTATCTCATCCCATACACTGGTACTGCTCTTGGCAGATCCGGATTTTGGTCCGTCTCTTGAATCAGCACCTCAAATGTTGTTGTGGGGTTTTTAAATGGTGAAAACATAAGTTATTATTATTTGTTATGTTGATTACAGTTATTTTTTTTGAAATTTATAAATTTTTCACTGTATTAACATTTTTTGGCTGAACGATCCATCCCCACGATCAATTACAACCTTTCGTCTACTTTTCGTGTTAGAAAATTGCAAACTAAACGAAAGCAACGTAACTATCAACAGTTGTGTTGCTAGACGAATTACAAAGTACCAAGTGACGAACGATTCGTGTGGCAGACGAAACGAACGCTCGTTTCGAGATACGTGATGAGGCATAAGTTCTGAACACATTGAAAACGACGGCTATGGGCCAAAGCTTCCAATTTGTTATCTTCATTATCTAAACGCTTTGTCGATGACGACATGATTTTTTTGAACGCGGCAGCGACATCATGAATTTGTATGAGTTTGACATAAAAGAAGAGGAGGAACCTTATCTGTCGCTGGAAAAATAGAAATAGGTAAGAGTACGTGTTAAAAAAATTTGACAGCTGTGGTCCGTAGCTCGTCGTTTTCATTGTGTTCGGGCTATGAATCCTTTTGACAGACAGCCGTGTTCCAGTCGCTTATTCAAATCCGTTTCTATCACGATCAATTCTCACGGAGAAGATAAGGAAAAAACAAAATTTAAACAAAAAATTAAATACAAAAACTTGAATTGTTTTAACCATTACCGAAAATTGGTTTGTGTATATATTCATTTGCCGGTGCTGTCAATTAAAATTTCCTCAATTAATTAGGAAACAAAACAAACAGAGTTGATGACAAATTAGCAACTGTATACTCGAAAAAGCAATGCTGCCACTTGTTTTCATTAAACAATGTTCGAATCGTGAAATTTTTGAAGATCACAGGGTTGCTTTTAGCATTTAGATTCTTAATGCGGAAATCGAGTTGCATTTATGTGACGAATTTTGTATGGATAAATGTACATTTATAGCTTAATGCGCTAAATGTGCTTTTACCCGTAAAGTTCAGAATGCAGCTCTCAAGAAAAGCAAAATGTCCATATAAAGTGACGTACAAGAAATTTCCTTGTGTCAAATTTCCTTAAGCCAGCACGCAGTCCTTAAAAAATATGCTAGGCTTTCTACTGCGGGTTTCTAAAGTTTTTTGTGAAAAAAGAGCAAAAGAGAAATATATGCCCGTTCCATTATTTCTTGAGGAAAGAGTGAGGCAACAGGCTGTGAAGTATCCGATGTCAAAATTCCTTGGACACACACACGAAATAATGGAGATTTTTTTCTTGGCCGTTTTCCTGAAGCTGATGCGAGATAAAACGCTTGATTCGCTTTGCGTAAAAGATTCGCTTTGACAGATGAGATGAATTGTTTGAAAATGTACAAAGCATGCCACACAGATTGTTGCAGCTGCAGCGCGAAGCGCAAAGATGAGCCAGTACGCAGTTCTTAAGAAATATGCTACGCTTTCTACTACGGGTTTCTAAAGTTTTTTTGTGAAAAAAAGCAAAAGAGAAATATATGCCCGTTCCATTATTTCTTGAGGAACGAGTGAGGCAACAGACTGTGAAGTATCCGATGTCAAAATTCCTTGGACACACACACGAAATAATGGAGATTTTTTTCTTGGCCGTTTTCCTGAATCTGATGCGAGATAAAACGCTTGCTTCGCTTTGCGTAACAGATTCGCCCTGACAGATGAGATGAATTGTTTGAAAATGTACAAAGCATGCCACATAGATTGTTGCAGCTGCATCTTTTTGCGCGCGTTGAAACTCAGCCGATTTAATATTTATTTTGTTTCGCCCAAATTCGAGTTTTCATGCAGAAACATAACATTTAATTACATTGCTGATATTTTTAAAGCTAAATTCACAAAATCCACAGCAATTTTGACGAGCAAAACAGCAGAATAAAATTGTTTTCTTGGCGTTCATTGTGGCATACCTTTTGTGTCTGGCGCTTTGATGGCAAAGTTATAAATGTCACGTATAGCCACAAAGTTTTAGCTGGCACCAGCTTGAGAGCTGCATACAGGCCTTAAGCAAAAATAGCCGATTTCTCGCATTTACGCATGAACGGACGACACGAGTTCACGCAAGAACAAGAGAGTGAAAACAGTAGTTTTTTGAGCGGGTTCTACGCCATCTTGTTTCGC